CACCTGTGCTGGGGTCAGGATGGATACAGAATGTACCATTCTAAATATTCGTCTCTCATTTATTTGCGACCCTTCTCCTCTGTGCCCTCCAAAGTAGCCAGATTGTCATGGAAATCATAATTATTTGTATAGAAAACTTATTTAAAAAAATTACTTCTGGAGCCATAGGTTTTGAGCCTACCTGTTAATTTTTTTGGCTTTATTACCTAGACTGTGAGCTAGAGACTTTCTTAAGCCACCATTTTGACTCTCATGTGAGCACCTGACTTAACACTTTTCTTAACAGCTGAGAACTGGAGAAAATCAGCAAGTATCATGACGGTGCTGCCGTTCTGAGTGAAAACTGTGTTTCCACAGGAAAGGCTGTTGACCTGTTATTTCTGCATACCAATTTACTTTAGATCCTAAAAGAAATGCTGAAAATTCTTATGCAGAAGAAGAGTTTATTTCCATGACTGTCATTAGGCTTACATTTCCTTTGGTCCAAGGTGTGTGCAACATAGTCAAATGGAAGTAGAATGGTATAGTTACCAAAATAGATGTGTTAATTTCTTAATTAATTTTTTTTTCTGTGCAGTGTTTTTAAAGTAACAAGCATTGTAAGCAGCATGTTATTTTTAAACCAAGGACATTTTGTGCTGAAATTGGCTATTGCAACACTGGGTTAGAATTAGAATACACAAAATTCAAAACCACAGTAACCCTAATTTTGCCATTCTTGCATTTTTAACTGCTCAACAATAGTGCTGTGTTTGTATAATATTTAAAAATATTTGTTAAGGGGAATGTAAAGAGCTACTGGCAGGCTTTTCTGTTAACTGTTTCTGCACATTCATCCACTCTGCTCAGAAATAAGCTGTAATGAAAACTCAGGGGTGAGTACTCCTGGTGTCCACAGCTCACACCTCCTTTGCATCGCAAGCAAAGGAGCAGCTGCAGCCCCAGCCAGGATAGGGGCAGAGACCTGCATGGTGGAGTGGGCAGTCCCTTTGGCTCAAACCACATACACCCATGATGGGCTAAAATCTGTTTGATATTTCCTTTCTGAACTCCCCCTGATACATGCATACCTGGTTTTGTAGTCTCCAAGGACTTATTCCAGCAAATGAATAGTAATGTTCAGGATAATGTAGTCAAATCATGACCATGAGTTTTATATGGCTGTAGTTCGTGTCATCACCCTACAAACCCTAGTTTTGCCTGGCTTGGTCCTGACGTTCCGGCCAGCACTGTGGGGAGAGGCTGCTTCCTTCCAACCTGACCCAGCTATGAGCTGCCTGATTCTCCCTGCAAGAGCTTTGCGCAGTTGGGACATGCTTATGTCCACCTTCAGACGGAAATTAGCTTTGGATTTCACATGTCACTGGTCAGATTGACCTGAAAGAATTCATGTGGAAAAAATAATGATTGGAAAGCAGCTTGAGAAATGAGTTCTTCTTTTTGCTGTTGCCCTGCATTTTGGTGTATTCTGTCTGTATTTTGAATATGAGGTCATATGATGCATTGTAACGTGATAGCAATACAGACTGGGTAATCCTGGGAACCAGCATCTTGAATCTTGCCTTTCCAAATTTTACTGTTGTAAAACTTGACTTCTTTGTTAAAAATGGACAGTTTCCAGGGAGCAAAAGAACTCCCAGAGAAGAACTGTTGGCATTTTATATTTTTAAGCTGTCTTGCTGAATGAAAACAGTTGATTATTAACTTGATGGTGTGACAATGAGTATATAGAACTTAAATATCTCACCACTCCCACAAAGAAAAAAACCCCCACCCTCCATTGTATCATGGGAAGATACATAGCCAGAAAAGCTTTCCAACTCGTTAAACTTTTATACTTGCTTCATACATGCTTAATGTAGTCTTTTTTCCATCCTATGATGTTGTTGGGTTGCTGCTGGATGGATCACAGTGGAGGACGACACCATCAGTTTAACAGTATTTCTTTATGAATGTGCTTTTCTTATTACAGAAAAAGCTGAATTGCTTAATCTGAAGGATTAAAAAAAGGTTTCCTTGTTTGTGCATTTCAGGTTGTTTATTCTGCCAAGCCTGATAACGAAATCAGTCAGAATGTTTCCCCTGTAATCAGTTTAGTCAGCTTCTGTGATTGTGTGGCATATTCGGACAAGGGCAGGGATAAAGGAAGAAAGTTTTAAAAAACAGGAAAATACTATTGTAAATATATCAGGCAAGTTATAAACTGGGAAAGGGCAATTGGAGTCAAGCATCATACCTGCTGCTATTTGTCATGCTCTATGGTAGATGTTTTGGTGGGTTTTTCTTCCTCTGTGGCTTGTGTTTGACTTTTTTGACGAGGAGTATGGGAAAATACTGATTTAAAGGACTAGAGTTCGGTTATATCACTTTTAAACTGTGTATTTTTTAGTGGAGATGAGTGGAAATTAGGTCACTGTAGCTGACTTGAGGTGAGAAAGGAACAAAAAACCAGTGATGTTTGGGCTCATTTTGAACCTTGTGCTGTGTGGGACGGCTCCAGGCTCTCCCTTCTCTGCACTTGGAGAGGCCACATTGCGTCTTGATGTGGGGCAATAGCTGACAGGAAGGATCGACTATTCCTTTGCTGTCTCTGGTGTAACTTTAGTTTTCTGGCGCCCTGATGGAGTTCTGTTGCTTACTCTGGTTGTGTCCTTCCTCTTGCTCTTCCTGCTTCTCTCCTTTATCATCCTCATCTGCGAGCCTGGGGAAAAGCTGCCTTGCTGCACCTCGCCCGCAGGTCAACTCATCCCCGTGACAGCATGGGAGGGGATGAGGGTTTCAGCTGGTCATTGCACTCGTAAGTGAGGATGTAGCAAGTTCTAAATTGAGAACTGTTGCTTCATATGTGTGCCTCTGCAAACCCGTGGATTTAGACATTCCCTCACCATTAATTACATCCTCTCGTCTTTTAGCAGCAAGTAAACAGGCCAAGTTGGGCATGTCATTCTGCTGCAAGCAGCCAAACGCAGTTTCTCGTTGGTTGGATGCTTGCAAGTTTCTCGAAGTATGTGGCTACTCTCTTTTGGGAGATGCACCCCATGGGACTCTCCTCAGGATGGGGAATAAGCAGGCAACTCAGGCCCCTTCTTGGAGGATGTACGTGCAAGTGACGACGACCAGTCTGGTGTTGCCAGAGTTGTTCCCTATTAAAAGCAGGGGCGGGTGCTTCAAAGGGAAGCCCAGATCACCCATAACTGATAGGCAGAGGGATAATTCCTAGGTGGCACTGGAATTGAGTGGTGCCATCATTTGCCTTGGTGCAATCTCTGACGAGATGCTGGGTGTCACCACCTCTTTTCTGGAAGCTACAGGGTCAGTCACTTGCATTTGTGAGTTGTTTGGCATCTAAGCTGCTCAGACGGATGCAGTGCAAGACTGACAAAATTGGCAGAGGCATCTGACTCTGGCAGCAGTTTGAGGATTTGCCTGTTTGCCTTGTGGGAGCCCTTAACACACCATCTCCAAGTGTGGTGTCCCAGAGAATGCTAAACAGCAGTCATGCAGAGGTGAAAAGATTTCCAGGCGAGCTTCAAAGAGAAGGATGTGACTAACTGTCTTGCAGGGAGCCAGGATGTGGACCCAGCCAGATGAGACAGCTCACATGAAAGGGCTGCCAAAAGAAAGGGAGAGGACAGACAAAACAGGGACTGAGGAATGAGGAGGAACAGGCACTTGAGAAAGGTAGAGAGGAAAGTCTCCACAGGCTCTTTCCAGCAGCTGGGAGATGTCTGCTCTCCAGGGAGGTAACCTGTGGGTAAAGTGATGAACCTCAAGCACATTGGCTGTCGTTCCTGGCTCCGCTGCAAGCCTCTGCCACCTGCCCTTGGACAAGTCACTCTCCTGGTGACTCAGTATCCCAGCTGTAAAACAGAGATTGCTGCTTACCTCATGGGGATGTTGTGAGGGTAGGCTCATGGATGCCTTTGCAATTTGATGTATGAAGTTGGGGGGAACAACAAAGTGACCACAAAGACAAACATGAAAAGGGATTTCTTCTTCCCTTGCTGCCTCTGAATGTACTCATGTTCCTATTGATAATATAATGATGAGTTATTTGTCACTGACATATACGCCTTCAATTGCACTAGTGGGAACAGTTTTTTGGATGTAATTTTGTATGTTTTAATAATATGTTAACGTTTTAAGCAATTTCTAATAGAAAATTAGAAAAAAATGACAAACAATTAATCAAAGTCAGACTAACCAAGATGTAATCAAGTAATATGAGAGTGGAACTAGGAGCAGAGTTTTTAAAGAGAACCTCAAAAAGAGAAAACACAAATCCTGAGGCATAAAGAAGGAATTCTGTTTTGCGTCCGTCTTAAATCCTATAGCTGAGAATGTACCTGAGGAAGTCTAAGACCAGAAACCAAAAGGGGTCACTCGTAAGCTCTCTCATTCTCAAATAAGCTTCTGCAAAAGGAAGGGGAGCTCTGGTTAGCTTTAACCCTTTAAAATAAATTTCATGTTGATTGTATTCACCCACAAGGTGGTCCAGTGGCTATTTCTGGCTTTTCAGGGAGCCAGAAAACAGCACATTTTAGGGCAGTTAAGGTATTGGTTGACCTGGTGCTATGGCTTAGTCTGTGCCTTTATGTGCTAAAACAAAATGGAAGTACTTACCTCCTCTGTTGGAAGAGGGCTGTGAGACTTACGGAAATGCTGTAAAGAATGTGGAGATCTGCAGGTGGAAAATGCTGGGGGCGGTCACAGCTTCAGAGTTTTACACGGGCAAAATTCATGGTCATATTTCACCTGTCAAAGCTGACTTTTCTCTAAAAAATAAAAAAACCCAAAGGAATTGGCTAGAGAAGAGGAACATTCATCTTCTCTTAGTACTGTATTTTTAGGGCTTTAATTGCATAAGCTTTCCTGGCACTTGCCAAGGCTATCTTTGGAGAAAAAAATAAGATTCTTGGTGGCAGCATGTGGAAACCTTTTGTTGTTAAATTTTAGTCATGGTTCCTTTTTTTCCTTTCCTTTCCTTTTCCCATCTGCAGTTGAGTACGACAAGGAGTTCACACCTCACCAGCGGCACCACAAGGAATTCAAATTTAATTTGTCTCAGATTCCTGAGGGGGAGGCCGTCACAGCCGCTGAGTTTCGAATCTACAAGGACTGCGTTTTAGGAAGCTTTAAAAACCAAACCTTCCTTATCAGCATCTACCAAGTGCTGCAGGAACATCAGAACAGGTATGCAGGAGGGCCTTGCTCTGTGCCACCAGCTGCTGTCCTGGAGAAGGCTGAGCTTTGCACTAATGTTGAGAGGACTGAAAATAAATATCAGGTTTGTTAATGTTAACAGGGTTATGTTATTGCATGGTCCTTTCCTTATGGGAAATGGGCATGGTAGAGTGCAAACGGACCCCAGCCAGAGAAAGTCCACAGTATTGTAGCCTGGGGTGTGACTTAGCTGCAACCTTTGTGTTGTCTTTAAATAGAGAAAGAATCTGACGAGGAGCAGTAGATTTTTAAACCAATGCTGGCATTGCACTTGTGTACTGAAATACACATTCCGCCTTTCAACTTAATCCTACCAGCATAAAAAGCATAGCCTGTTTGAAAAATACTGGTAATTAGTTCAAACTTGACCTGCTCGCAGCTGGACTTAAATTAAAGTAAATAAAGCAGAAGAAAATTCAGCATGCATTTTGTATATGCAGGTACAAAATCACTCCTTGACTTTCAGTGGCGTTGAGAGAGGCAAAAGTGAGAGAGGCACAATAGAAACTTGGACACAAAAAATCCAAACAAGTGTAAATGGAGTGATTAATTTAAAACCTGTAATGTTTCAGATGGAGGAATCATGTAAGGCTAAGAGATGGAAATACATGGTCAATTAAATGTCAGATTAATGCGGTGGTACAAAAGGGTTTCATTACTTGTCAGTACTGTAACTGTTCCTCTGCTACAGGCATAAAAAAAAAAAGAAATCAGCAGTGCTAAAAAAAAGCTCCATTTGTTTTCTCTGTGAAGGTTTCATGGATGTTTTCCTTTATGCTCCTTCTTTCTCCAGCCTTTCCATTGGTACCATTTGGGGCACCATGAGCCTTTCATGATTGGCAGTTGTGAAGGCAAGATTAAATAGCTTGTGATTGTTCTATGGGGAGTGTGGCCTCTGGGGAAATGGAGAGAAATACTTGGGTGAATAGGTGATGGGGAAGAAGGTGTGAGTTTTAAGAGATCAGTGTTGTGCTTCCCTTTGTGCTTCGAGTTGCAAATTGCTGGAGTGCCTCCAGGAGTAACGTTCTTGCTGCTTAGGATGTTAACATCAATGCCCACTTGTTACATCAGGAGCTGATGGAACTCCAGACGGTCATGGAGATTTCATAGATGTTAGCTGTATTGTTCATTTAGAACCACACTGAATAAAAAGTGGCAAGTGTTGGTCTTCTTTAGATTCCATAAACAGAGATCCCACCTCTGGAGCTGGAGGAAAACCTCTGCCAAGTGTCCATGGAAGCAATTGATACTCTGCTCTGTGACGGTCACCAAAGCAGGGCACAGAGTAGGAGAACTGTCAACTTTTATGTTTATATAACATTTTTTTCAGAGTAAACTGAGCAAGCAAATAAGACATTGCAGGAAAGAGAATAAAGTACAGGATACGGCCCCTAATATACCCCATTCCTAACAAGTTTACAAACTCTGTTCTGAAAATGACTGTGTGCAGCAGTGATGCTGCAACCTTGTGTCTGTGAAGCTGTGATGTGCATCCTTTGGCACTGGGCACTTTGGCACCTGCATGTGCTGGACATCACTGGGTGCTAGAGACTTCCCTATGGACAGAGTAGAGGCAGCAGCTTGGGTGGGGACCACCAGGGTGGTCTCTGTCCAAAGCTGGCAAGTATTTTGGGTCTTTTAATTCCCTTCCATCACGTTCCTTCTGCCGTTGCTGGCGGCCATGCTGAGGGGATCCCACTGTTGGGACTGGGAATCATAAAGTGACTTCCTCCAGATCCAGACTGCCAGCAGTTCACTGTCCCTCCTGACATGGGCTAGGCGTGAACCACTGACCGAGGGATGAGTGTCTGTAGTTCATTACTAACCTCTGACTCATCCAGTCCCTCAAGGCTCCCTTTTTGTTTCTTTTTCTTCTTTATTTATTTATTTTTACTGGGGGGAAGGAGGGAGATGTTTGGCTAAAGCAACTTGTGCTTCAGATGAGTCTGTGGGAATTGTCACATCATCCGCACAGAGGTGGGCAAGATATGGCTCAGAGAGTTTTGCAGCTGTAAAAAGGACATGCCCTTTTCTACCCTTTTTTCCTTTCAGCTTAAAGGACTCTTTCATTTACGGGTAAAATATAAAAGCACATATGAAAATGTATGTGCTTCTGTATAAATACATGCATAGGTTTGTATTCTCTGTATATATATGCATATATATATACATATAAATAACCCCTTTTATGTTAAATATATGTAGGTGTTAAAAGACAGTTAAAATGAGATAGTAGAAGCTGCTTATTGCTCAGTGTTATGGTCAGTTGAGGTCTGACTCATAGGCTACTGCTGCTATAGATTCAAATGTTCACCCTCATTGGTGTCCTGCGTGGACTTTGGCCTGTGAACATTCTTGAAAACAAATACTAAAAAGTGGTATTTAGCTGTTCACTAATATCTCTGCATGGAGAGGAAAAATGCCTCAGATTCTTCTGGTGTGCCTTAAGGAACTATATTCTTCTGAGTCGTTTTGGGTTTTGATCATCAATTCACTTACTTGCTTTTACTGGGGGGGGGTAAAGTCCCAAATGCTTTTTTCTCCCCCTTTTGTCTCAGTGGATTAATTTGGAATGCAATGTTTTCTTTTCCTGTTCAGAACACTGGAAGGTTAAATTATAAGAAAAAGAGTGCACTGGTTTTTGAAGGAACTTGCTAAATATTTGTAAGTCTTCCATTGAATTTTAGCAGACATCTTCTGAGCCAGAAAATAACAGCTGCCTTTAACTTGAAAAAACTCTACTAAAAAAGTTGTGTCATGCTTCCTTTGGGCTAATGGTTTTGAATAAGAGCTTGATATTTCCTGACATTTTATGACATTTTATTGCATAAGGAAGAGTCTGTACGGATCTTGAAGTCTAGCTGGTGAATAGCAGGTGAGACAGAGGAGTTGATGTAGCACCTTTTTTCATCTTTTTCTGCTGGCAAATATTCCTTCTGGTCAGGAAAATTCATCTCTAAAGGCTGCAGAAGGTGCCTGTTCAGTGAACATCTGCAGTCTTCAGAAAAAGTTCAAAGACACCATGTTAGTCTTGGATTTTATGAGGTTAACAGTTGTCTGAGGTGGTTATTGGTAACTACTAAACTACTTTTGGGTGCAAATAATTTTTAATTGGGCAGCTTGCATGTATGGATTTAAACCAGCAGTCTACAAGAGAAAGACAGCAGGCACCTCTTGGAGAACATATATGTAAAAAAAAGGAAACCTGCCTGCTTCTCTCGAAGAAAAAAGTTTGGCAGGGCAGGAGATAAGAGAAAGCTTTAGTAAATACAAATCTTCACCAAAGCTCAGAGCCTGGAAGTATCCCTTGGCTCCAGTTAAGTGTAATGAAGTGGCTTAATTCAGTATTACTTGAGCAAAGGGAAAAAAAAAGCTCATCTGGACAGTAAAAACATGAGCGTGTGACTCTAGCCCAGATGTGCGCTGCTGCACGGAATTGTGAGGCACTGCTGGCTGTTCCTGGTGGCTAAAAACAGAACCAAGCCTGAGGCTAAAATTTCTACCAGTTGCTGAATTATCAAACTGATTTTTGCCACTGTAGAAAAAGCTAAAAGCAAGGACCATGGGCCCATTTGAGAGTGTCTCCTAGACAGGAGTGTAAGCAGAGAGAACATGACCAATCAGAGATCAATGGTGATTGAAATAGCATAAAACCTCTGGGTAGAAATCTGACCCTCTCCTCATTCAAAGATATCAGAAATAAGAAAAAAATACTTGTGAGGACTCCAGGCAGTGAAACTCACATTGAGGACAGTGTGGTCTAAGTACATTCTCTCTTTAAAAAGAAAACATTTTTAATAGTGACTCACTTGTGTCAGTAATATTTTCATCTCCCCATTCCTTCCATGCTTTTGTAAGGTAAGAAAAATAGTGCCTAGAAACTAGGCCTTTGTTTTCTAACCAAACCGCAGTTAACGGCCACATTTTGTCATAACACAAGCTGCTGGAGTTGTCAGTGGGATGATGCAAAGAGATTAATGAAATCCTCAGGATGGGTCAAGCTTGTGGCCAGCCATCAGTGGTGAGCCTTTCGGATTGTGTGGAAAAGAGGCTTCACCAAATAGGGCTGAGGTGACATCTGGTTTGCTCTGAGGGGGATGACTCTGGGTTTTGAAACAGGCTGTGGGCTGTAGGGGCTGACGCTGGGAGAGGGAACAGGCGATACATCTGCCGGATGTTGCTGCCCTTCAGCTTCTGACCGCCCAGAGTTTTAAGAGACTAGGCTGTTTGAACACTAGGGTGGGATTTTTTTTCTTCTCTCTTTTTTTTTTCTTTTTTTCCCCCTTCGAAATATGCAGAAAACAGGGATGTTTGCCAAAGCACCAATTTAGGAGGACAAGTGGTATCAGCTTCCAGGTGCTTGTCCCACCGTGGCCATATCTGACAGACTGTTTAGTTTCATCAGGCAAGAGCTACACAAACAAGAACCTTATGCAGTACCAATGCACAGCTAAGCCCTGCAGCTTGCCTTGATTCTAAAGTGTAGCACGGATTTTGTGGAAGAATCAGCAAAGCCCTCTGTGATTTCTGATACCACTTGGGAGTGGTCTCAGAAGTCTCACTTGCTGTGTAAGTGAGACCTTTACAAGGGAAGGGAAGAAATGAGTTTGTCCCTGAAAACAGCTCATTATTTAAACAGTTTTGTTCTTGAAACTTCCATGTTCTCACCCAGAGAGGTGTCAGGTCAGGACTAGGGAAGGCAGTTTATGGTTGATCAAAGATGTTAGTCCTTGGTTTGGATCATCAGTATGTTTTCAAGTGTAAATATCCTGCTAATGCAGACCTCAGAACACTCCCACACTGTCCAAACAACTGATCTATGAAAAACACAGTGGCCTATGTTAGTGATCAAAGGAAGATACAGTATCTTAATGGTCAAAGTTTATTAAACAGTTTCATTTGCACCCAGAATGAAATATGAGGACATGATGGTCAGAAAGATTCCTCCTACATGATAAGACACGTGTGGA